GCATCAAATTAACAAGTAATTACTGGAGTATGAATATATTTTAGGATATAGTCGACAAGAAATGGTTAGATTCGATATAAAAAGTTACTTGCTTACCTATTTTTCCCGATAATAAAGGATCATAGCTGTTGGTAGCCTGATAGTAATTTTCACTTTTCTTGACTAGCTCCTGATGATTTCTCATGAACTGCTTCTAACAAACTGTTTTCAATGCAGTCACCCTACAAGCTCAACGTGAATATCCTCCTGATATGCAATGCAAAGACAAATTTCTCCTACAGAGCACAATAGTGGCTCCTCATACTGATGTTGATGAACTTCCACAAGACACTGTAAGCATGTAGTCCTGGATAACAGTGTTGTCATATGATTAGCATGCTGATTATGTTTGGAAGAAAACTGAGGTTGGGCAAATAATTTTTATCTAATATTGCATCCAGTTTAATAAGGACAGTGGAAAAACAATAGAGGAGTGCAAACTTAAAGTTGCATATGTCTCTCCTGCTTCAACACAAGCCAGTTCTGAAGATGAGGGGTCAAAGAATGCTGCGCTAAGTCCTGAAACCAATGCTGTGAGTTTATTGAAGACCTCTATAAATATGGTTTTTTGCAGTACTTTTCTGAGATTTTATGTTATGTCTTCGCACTTCTATCCTTTTTCTGTTGTGTACATGCATATCCATGCTTAAACTTTGTTCTGCAGCAGAAATTTTGTTTTCTGAATACCTCTTATAGTTTGGGTAGAATTACACCTGGTGTTCCTCCCTTGGTTCATGGTCATGTATGTGATCACAGGATGGAAAAAATACGAAGTTTTCACAGTACAAAAGCCATATATGGTTGATTTGTTTCTTTATGGGGAGGAATATTTGATTGCTTTTCTTTTAAACATAGAGGTGAGAAATTGAGATCTGTTGTCCCAGAATATCTCAAATGTCTGAAGCAAGAATATATAAGAAGGAGAGGGAGTTGGGAATAGTTACACATTGTTTCATTCCAAATTTGAATAGAAACAGATGAAATCATTGATTTCCCAAAGAGTAGGCACATTCTAACAAGTTAGTGTTGCCCGAAGTACACAGTTTGATAAACTTAATGAAATGCATTTTTGTTAAATTCAGTTTAAAACTTTGAATTAACGGCTTCAAAAAGGACTACAATTGCCACTATCTTTCGTTGTAGTAGAACTAGCATCAAGATTTTGCTGACAGAACCCGAGTAGAGCTAATTAATTGAGGGAAATGGGAAAAGAAAAGGAAAGAATAGGATGTCCACCAGCCTTTCACTTGTTTAATGAAAAAATCATTATTAGTTAAGAAAAGGGGGGATGCTTAGCATTTCTCAATTTCCCTTGAAAATCTAATACTTAGTTTGGTGGAAGAAAATATTTTCTATTCTTCATTTTCTACATGCATGTGTTTATGTGTGTATTTGTTCATGAATATTTCTGAAATAATTAAAGCACAAACAAACTACTTTTCTAGAAAACACTAAAATTAATATTTTAAAATTATCTAATTCCATCATCATTTCACTATCATTGTTAATTAACTCGTAAATTTAGAAAATGAAACTCTAAGACGTTTTTATGTTCTAAATGAAGCCTATTTTTCTCTCCTCCAAATTGTAGGTAAAAGTTTTGGCACAAATAAACACCTAATTTTGTTTGGGACTATATGCAATTTACAAAAATTGACACAAGGAAAACTAAACAATTAAACTAAAACAGAAATTAGAAGGATGTGAAATAGAGATGAGAACACAGTTGTAGAGTAGTTGGGTGTCAAATGACTTATGTCCACCATCTTGACTACCTCAAGTCAGGTATTCCAAGCTCCCCTAGCTAATTGTCTAATACAATGTTTTTTTTTTTTAACAGTTTAGGCATAACCAGATAACTTATGCCTTTCCATTAACCTAAGTACAACCAAAAGAACTCGAAGGCTTGGCATCACTTAGTACTCTTCCAAAGCTCACACAAAAATTTTGAAGAATAAGAATAATAACTACACTTTTTGTTAAATACACAATTTGTAAGCATAAGAGGGCTTTTCACTTCTTTTCTCCAAGATGCTCTTCCTTCTTCAGATGCCATGATATTTATAGGGAATGTAGAATTTGAAGGGAAACTGATTTTCTTTAAACTATAAGTTCCTAATAGGTTCATCTACGACGACTAATCCTCAAGTAACAAGAAACCTACTTGAGAGCGCTATGGAGCAATGCATCGCTAGGCTTCTCTAATGATTCTAGAAGCTCCCTTGTTTTCTCAATCTCCTCCTTATTTAACTCAGTTTGGTTTTTGAAACTTTTCTTGATTCAGTTGATTCATAGTGAGGTTGAGTTGGCTTTACTTTCTGTTGTCCTCCTCGTGGCCCCACTCAGTGTAATGGTTACCATTCACTGTTCTATAATTCTCTTCAGTATACTTTGAGTTCTTGTAATGAGTACACCAAGTAAAATCTTTGTTGTCCTATCCGGAGGATTTTTACAAATTTGTCCTGACAATTTCCTTTGTTGGCAGTTTTTCTGGTTTTCACCATTGCTTGACCTTGAAGGAATTGGGATTCAAGCATAATCCCTTGGGTCTCTCGTCTCATCAGCTTTAATAAAAGAAATAATGTCATTTAGAGATGGTACTATTCCTTGCCAAGAATCTGGACCCTGACCTGATCAAATTCAACATTTAGACCTACAAGAAAATTATAAACTCGGTCCTTTTCAATAAAATTCTTCAAAGTGCTGCAGCTTCTGTGCACTTGGTTCGAATGCATTGGTAATGGCTAAGTTCTTGCCAACATGCTCTATAACAGATTGCTACTCTATAACAATTTTACTGCCTTGTTTCATCGTACAAGTTTTGACTTTAATCTTATACGTTTGTGCTACATCACGACCCTTTAATACGTTCTCAAATACCTATTTTCTTTAGCCATGGGTAAAAACATGTAACTCTCACTGACCTCATAATTCATAGAGTTCTGTAATCATGATGATCATTGAATCAGCTTCATTCCACGCATCAAATCTTGTATCTCCTTCTTTCAGTTCCTGTCACCAGGAGACTATTTTCCTTTTTTCTCTCAAATAGGTTCGAATTAATTGGGACCACTTAAGATTATTTTTCCATTCTTTCTATATGTTGTGTGAATATTTTGGAGCTTTTCTACTGGTTGATCGATGAGAATTTCCCTATTCTGGACAATAGTGTTGAAAGATGAAGTCATCTTTGTTGTTTTAACCATCTTCCCTAGAATGGTGTGTCGGGTCTCTTCCCTCCTATATAGATTTGGAAACAAAGAGGTCTGGCAAGGATCATAAAGATTAAGACAGTGGACAGATAATTTGAATCTAGTGAGGGAACTGACAACAAAACCTGGTGACAGCTATGCAACATGAAGGCCAAAAGGAAAAAACGATGAGAGAAGAGGAGATAATGTGTTAACCCTGAGTTTGGCATGCACAGTGACATGCAGAGAGGCAGGCGTGAGCTAAGGCAGATGTGTGATAGAGTGGCTTTTGGGAATGGACACATGAGCAGAGGAACACCTTGGCAACAGGAATGAGGCTGAGGTAGGGGAAGCGAGGCAGTAAATATTGTTGGTTTTTTTTCCCTTAATAGAAGAATAAGAGAGCATAAACAAAACAAAGATTTTTCTTTCTTGAATAGGAAAACAAGAGTATAAATTCTAATGAAGGCCGAGCACAATGCAAAAGAGCCTAGGACTTCGATACTATGTGGTTAACAGACAGGCAAAATTTCCTGCATATCGAAAAGGAGCATATGCATTGGTACGTATAGCTATTACAAAGGAAAAATAGAGAACTAATTGCAACAAACTAAACCAACTCAAGTTAGATCACATTTTCCTATATCTGGAAACAAGCATCCCGTATTTAAAACGATTAGTTGAGACAAAAGATTGAGGGATTTTCCAACAGAGTTGAACAATGTCATTGAAAGATTCAATTTGAATTTTCCAGGACTTTATCGAGGCTTGAAATCTTTCATAGCTATTTTCTTGGATATTAAAGACATAACATGATTCTAGCCTTCAGTGGCTCAAATTCAAAATGAGATTGATCATCACTTTAATCTGTAGGATACTGCCAAAAGAATAATATGATTGAATGACTTCAATTTCTCACGGGAGTTATTGTAATAAATTAATAAGTTCTATTTGTGTTTTAATGGAGATACTAAGTGAAAGAATGAACCAAGATCTAGAAAGTATCAATTGGCTAGCAAGAGTATTTAGAAGATAGCTTTCATTTGAAAAAAAAAATTATTAAGGCATATGATTACGGTTTTGAATTACCAATAATAATAACGAGATAGCAGCTGCAAAATTATATCTTGTTAACTTATTGATTACATCTAGAATTGATAAAGATGACACTTACTATAAATGCAATTAGTTCCATCAAGCAATATTTTCCTAATGTTCTAAGAATATTTTGTTTTTAAAGTTATTGTTATTATACATATAAGTTTAATTTTGTGCCAAAAATTGATTTTGTTTTCAAAATAAGTTATAGAGAGATCTTTTTCCAACAAGTAGAAAGGAAATGACTAGAAAATTTTAATGGTAAATATTTCCATGATATCTTCAACTAGTTATTCTATTAATAAAGGTTACTGTTGACCTTCTTCCATGTTGTTGACTGACCATTTTATCCATTTCTTTTCTTTGTAAAGTTAAACCAAACAATATATTACAACAACTATTCCTTTTCTTATAGTTTTTTAAGTTTTAGTTATCTAAGCAAAAGAAACACTTTTTTTTCTTTTCTTTTTTAAAAACTATTCTTACACTTTTTTTTCTTTTCTTTTTTAAAAACTATTCTTTCTTTTCACTGCCCTTCCTCTTTATTCCTTTGCTAATTTTTTATAAAACATGGTATAAGTTCTGAATAAGACCGATTTGTATTAGATTTCTTCGGATGAAACCTTTAGGAAGATTTTAAAAAGTTGTCTAAACTTAATATAAATAACATTTTGGTTTAATTTTTTAACAGAAAAAACAAAGTTCTTATCTAAGAAAAAGTACAAGTGTATTTCATATAACTTGGGCATTTAGTTTTATTTCACAAAAAGATATAACTTGGGTATGTGGCTTTAACTCCATCGGCTTGTTGCTAAAATATTTTACTAATATACAATTAGCCTTTCAATCAACAAGTATCACCTCTATGTGCTTTACTGATAAGTTTAATTTATAACTCTGAAGCTCCAAGGAAAGATAGGCTTATTTCAACAGATAATAAGATAATATTGATTTATAACTCTGAAGCTCCAAGGAAAGATAGGCTTATTTCAACAGATAATAAGATAATATGTACAATAGGCAAAGCTGTGAAAACCTTTTAACTAAAGCAGTGGGTTGGACATTTAAGTACCTTAATTGTTTTTAAATGATGTGCTATGACAAGCTTTGTAATAGTCTCTTTTCTTCCTCTATTATATTGGAAAACCACTTTTGGTAATTTATGATTATTTATGGTTTCCATCAGTTGTTTTCCAAAACTTGTGCTCTTTATGGGATATTCTCTTTTGTCCATATGGCTGCTATTATTTACAGAAAACAATTAGGGCCAACGTAACAGAAAACATTTAGTCATTGATCATGCATAGATGTAGTCTGTTCATCCTCATACTAAATTTGCAGGTTAACATTCTGTAGAGTAACTATTTTATGGATATTAGTCTGAAGCGGTCACACTGATCAAGAAAATTGGGTACCTTATCAAGAAAATTTCTGCTAATTTTTCTTTTTGATTTTTGAGAATGCTTCTTTGGTGGAAGCTTGTTGCTTGAGTGTGTTGTGTCATTAAGTTCACAATGAAAATGGTTCAATAATGTATGGCTATTTCCTTGTCTAGTATTTATGCTTTTCTTATGTCATCGGTGGTGTTCTTACACCACATTTTCATGAATTATTTCCGAGAGCATCTGGAACTCATAGTGACTTGTTAATTAGATTTCTGTCTATTGGAGCACTTGTTATAGCTAAATGCAATTGCATTGGTGATGTTTGGTTTTGGATTGTTTCTTTGCTAGTGTAGTTTCAGTCTTTGTTTCAAGTACTCCATTTTCTTAGCCTCCGTATTCATCTGATAACTATCAAGGGCCATGTTCTATGTTATAATGCCATTTGAAAGGCATTCTTTTTTTTGGTGTCTCTTAAGTACCATACTGCTTTCTTCTATATGTTCAGCACAATATAATTCCTTTTGGTTTAATGCATTTAATCAGACCATCCAGCGTTTGAAGGAAGAAAGAGATGCAGCTGTTCGACAAACACAACAACTGCAACAAGAGCTGGTAAATTCCCCATATAAATTTCTCTCCACCGTATTTTTTAGTATATTGATGATGGTCCCTCAACAATCTTTAATAAAATAACTGAGCTAAAAGCCCTCTATAGATAGGGGTTCAAATCCCAAATTATTGCAATGAGCCCAAAGGCTCTTGGTTTCCACCCAATTATCAAACATGTCTTAATGAGGTATAGGAGGTTGATTAACATGTTGAGTTCCCTGAATCTGCATGCACATGCTCAGTTTTGACTGTGCAATGGAAATATGAGCAGAGAAAGGAGGACAAAGGGAAAAAGGAAAGATAGTTTGCATAAATATAAAACTGTGTTTTTTGCATTTTGATTAATTCGAATTATTTGTACAGAGAGATGCCTAGGATTAGAACTGAAGTTGAATAAGTTGGTTTCCTGCTACAGGACATGGCAAGGAGACAAAGACATAGCACAGGTGACAGCAGCTTCTCCTTTAAATTTGCAGTTGCTGTGGGTGTCATTGGAATCATGTTCGGGTTCATCCTGAACTTTTTGTTTCCGACACCATCCACGGAATAACTGCAAAGTGCAGGAGCATTGCCTAATTTGGTTGTATAATTTCTTATTTTGTAGTTGATGGAAAGCACTTGCTTCACTTCTTTTTGTAAATTCGAAAATCACAAAATTGTTCTGACATCAGGTTCTCTTAACAATACAATGTCATTCGGTTGATATATTGATCCAGTTCATAAGAATGTGAGTAGTTTGTTCTCTTCCTGACTAAAATCAAAGGACTTACAATTTTATAATGAACCAAACCAAATAGGACGAGGACTAGAGTAAAAATGTAATTACATATTAGTGCATTTCTTCTACAAATATAATTAAGGAAAATCACTTTATATAAACTTAGATTACAGATTATTAGTATATCCCAAATACCTTCATACCCATAAATGCATTACAATCCAAAATTTTCTAATGGGTCGAGCAAGTTTAATAACTCTTCAATTTAAAATAAATTATATTTAAAATATTTATAACTAAATAGTTTTGATCCGTCGTATTGATTATTATTTTTTATCTAAAAATAGATATTATAAAAATATTTTTTATTATAATATAAGGTTTTTTAATGTTTATATAAAAATAATTTTTATAGGTTCAAAATAAGATTGTAACGGTAACCCTTTAATAATTAAATCGATAATCTTCCAAGAAACTTATTATAAGTTTAAAGTAATGAAGCAATACATGCGGGGCAGAAGGTATTTGACGACATGTTCAATTTTTTACTTCAAACAATATGTATAAACAAGTATTACGCATATGCAAAAATATATTATTTATTAAATTTTGATTATTGATCAATTTATATATTTATAAAAAAAATATTTTATTCTAAATAGTAAATAATTTCTTAATTAATATATAGATTATAGTATTTAAAATGAATAAATACTGTACATTATTTTATTTTTTGTGCTGACATGGCAACATACTATTGGTTCGGGTGACACTGCCGGCAGCATCCCACAAATAAAAAAAGTGTTTAAGATTTTGTCAATTGCTTGCTTAGGAGCCAAGAGATAAGGACCAATATCAAGGTCTCTTGCTTGTCAGTATCGTATTAGTCAACCAATGGTTAATTTTCTCGTGAACTTTCTCGAATTTTTTATTTCTCAATTACTTTATTGCCCCTCACTTTTTCCATAATTGCAACTCCATACCCACTAGAGATAAATTTTCCATATTTGCAATTTTTTCATTTCTTTTAAAATATTAAAACAGTAAACGTATGTCTAAAAAAGGTAGAATAATTTTCTGGATGAGAATAGGAGGCCCGAGAAGCAAGGGCAGATTCGTAAATAAAGTCTTGTTGAAGGGCATTATTGTAACTAATTATATCTGGAAATTTCTTCGAAGCTGTTACCGAATTCCTTTTAAAGTACCCCGCTTCATTCGTCATCACGATCATATCATCTGTAAATCATCTACCGTCCTGCAAGACTTGGCCGCCAACTATACAACCAAACAACAATGGATGCTTTCTCTTCTTTCTTCGACTCTCAATCAAGGAACAGATGGAGCTACGAGTCTCTGAAAAACTTGCGACAGATCTCTCCCATAGTCCAGACTCATCTGAAACAGGTAATTTTCTTGTGGAACTTTCTTGTTTTCAGAATCTTGTTTTGTTTCCGAGGAAATGGAGGGAGAACGGACGGGAATCTTATATATTACGTTTTGTATTTGCGATCTTGAATAATATCTTACAATCATAAGGATTTGTTTGGATATGATAATTTCTAGGGTTTAATGAAGGGAATTATTTAGTTTCAGTGATTCGGACGTCTGTTTATTAGTTAGCATTTGGCTTGTCTTCTGTTTTGAATTTAACTGCAAGGGAAACACACTGGAGTCTTGGATCTTGTGATAGTTGGTGGCTGGGGCAAAATAGTTGTGAATATTTTTCTTACCTTTTTCTTCGTCTTGCAAAATTTCAGGTTTATCTCACCTTATGCTGTTCGCTCGTTGCAATGGCTGCCGGTTCATACCTTCATCTTCTGTGGAACATCGGCGGCCTTCTCACAACACTTGGATGCTTTGGAAGCATAGCGTGGCTGCTTTCTAGTTCTCCTTATGAAGAGGTGCTTATCTCTGGACTGGCGGTGACAATTTCTTTTTGTTTGCCATTTTCCCCCGCATGAAAAGTTTTGTGCTCATTCTTTCTTGTTTTCTTGTTGTATTTCTTGTTGAGCAGCAAAAGAGGGTTGCCCTTTTAATGGCAACTGCACTCCTTCAAGGGGCTTCTATCGGACCTCTGATTGATTTAGCCATCAAGATTGATCCAAGGTAGATTTTTTTTTTTTTTTTAAAACACTGATCCAAAGAAAATACTTACCGGTGACTACCAAGGAATGTGTTCAATGCCCAACTTCAAGGCCGGTTTGAGCTGGAGTTGTCTACCATTCAAATTTTTTTGATCTTATATTGTAACTTGTTTGGTTTTGCATATGATTTAAACTTTTAACTTCTGATTATGTTCTCATATCATCATGATGCAAGAAAGTGAGATTATTACGATGAGTGTTAGAATATTAGGTTGCAACTGTGCTCTGTTTGCATTGTTGATTGCAAGTTATTCTGTGTTCCTAATTCTAAATTTTAATACCTTTTTGTATTTCACCTTTCCAAATATTGATCGCAAGTATGCTCAAAATGATATTTGAATAACTGAAAGTGAATACTTGTTGCCTTTTCCAGCATTCTGATTACATCGTTTGTGGGAACTGCGATAGCCTTTGGTTGTTTCTCAGCAGCAGCAATGTTGGCAAGGCGTAGAGAGTACCTGTATCTTGGAGGCTTGCTCTCGTCTGGTGTGTCCATGCTTATGTGGCTGCACTTTGCTTCCTCCATTTTTGGGGGATCCACAGCAATATTCCAGTTTGAGGTGAGGACTGGTGTTGATGGGTTGATTTGTTTCCATTTTCGCATTTCATTTTCCACTTTGGACCTCTCATGTTCATTTTGTCTTGTTTTTGATTGCTTTCAGTTATACTTCGGACTCCTGGTGTTTGTGGGATATATTGTGGTGGACACCCAGGAAATAATCGAGAAAGCACACTTTGGTGACCTTGACTATGTAAAACACGCGCTTACCCTTTTCACTGATTTTGTTGCTGTCTTTGTCCGTATTCTCATAATCATGGTGAGTTTGAGCCAAATACTTTTTTGAATTTCGTCAAAGTTTAATGCTACTTTCTTGAAGCTTGAGCTTTTTTGTGTTTAAAGGTTGTTATTGGTGATCTTGTTGGTAATGATGGTCATGTTTGTGATGCAGTTGAAAAATTCAGCCGAGAAAAGTGAGAAGAAGAAGAAAAGAAGAGATTGAATGAAAGAGTTTCCCTAAAGATGGTGGAAGGAGAGTTGAAGAATCTTAATACTTGTCCATAAACACTTTACCACGAACAATGTTAGTATTTGGAACTTGAACTTACTGTATGGCTAATATTGCCACTTCAGTTCTTCCCGTGGTTGGGAGGGGTTTTCTTTTGACATTGACAAGTTTATATCAGGCTCTCCAAGTGGAATATATATTTTCCTGGCTCCACCTATGTTGATATATGTTAGCATTTGTTTCGATATTAACTTGTCGTCGGATGTAGACGAAATAAATAGATATAATAATCGTGATATGACAAAAGTAATCTCGCAAAAAAAGGTGGCATGTGTGTTTTTATTGTTCTAAACGTGAACTGGGTGCAAAAAGATCATGGGTTTTCGTTTCATTTTGATGTTCTTGTAAAATATGTAAGATTGTGCAATTTTGTAATTTCATGTTTAAGGATACTAGAAATCAATCAATTAAGTTGATAGAAGAGTACCATTTTGTCAAATAAAGCTCAAGTTAAAACTGTTGGAAAGAGTCTCGTATCGGATTCTTGCCCTAATGGGGCAGCAGAGAACATATGTTGAAGTAGAATCCACGGTATTACTTGGGTAGTTTTAATGGTTTATCGTGTCATGGCAGTAATGTGATATAATTCTTTTATAGGAGAAGATACAAGTGAGGTATTTTCGGTTTTTGTAACCAGGGGATATCAAATTTTCTACTTCTTTGTAGTAAGTATAAGATAAGGAGGTGCAAGTGTAGATATATTATAATCTTTTTTGATTTAATATTTCTGATTTCTTTTTCTTAAATAATATATTATCTTATAAATCAGTCAAACTTACACATCCACATCGGAGCCTAAATTCCAACATTGCTAAAAAAATTAACGAAAGAAACTTTAATTTAATCAAAATTTATTAGTGAAAGTAGTTTATTTAATATTTTTAATTAATTTTAAATTTCTTTCAACAATATTAGAGCCAAGGCAGCAGCATGTATGTTGGCACATTTCAGTGTTAAATATGTCAGTATCTTCCCAAGAAAAGTTTTAGGGTTTTAAAGTGGAAATCGTTTTTCAACTAAAGAGTTAAACCGAAATTTTCACTCTATTTTATTTAATTTTAATTTCATTTTTCGGGGTTCTTTCCTGAACAGAATCTTGGAGGAAAAACAATTTTGAAGAGGAAGATGAAACTCTCCCATGCTTGCATTCCCCATTAATTTCCCTGATTTCTTTTCTATCCCAAACATTTGCCTTTTTTTCCCATCTGTTCCCTGTCTTTCTTCCGTCCTCTCTCCATCACCTCCCAAATCACACTCGACACTCCCCGGATCCGACGCCGGTCGTCTGACCCAACGGGCATCCCCGTCGCTCATCTACGACAACAGAAGGTTATCTCTAGCAGTCAGCCCGTGCACATCGGAGGTTTTCTTCTCTCTCCCTCTCTAGTCCCATGTCTGCCGCCGCGCGATAACTCTCTCTTCTTCTCCGAGTCTGCGTCTTGTTTTTTTTTTTTTTCCCTCGAAAATTTGCATTTCTCTCCTCTTTCCTTGATTTATTTGCGTAATTTCTCAGAAATCTTGCTTTGTACTTCAGCAATATAGGATTTGCTAGGGTTATAATACTTGTTGTGCGTCAATTATTTCTCTTAGAATTGCTTTAGCAGTTTAGGCCGAATTTCAGGTATAAACATTGTTTTCTTTCCCAATTTTGCATATGTTTTGACGTATGAAACTTGGGTTATTGTTTTTTATAGTTTGCATATGAGTACTAGCTAGAAGCCATTTCAGTTACCTTTTCTGGTTTTCCAAGACCACCATGTCTGGACAACGTTGCTCATGGTTCTTCAGAACTTGATAGACAGCGCCCGTGGATTGGTGCTTTTGTGGATATTGTTGGTGATGGTGCAGAGCTGCATCATTAGAAGTGAAACCAGTTGTGGTATGTTAACAGAAAAATAAATGATCTGTTTTTAGCTGGCCATGACCTTCTGATGAAAAGGATGGCGGATGGTGACATTGATTACTCAAGAGCTGGGCTATGTCAAGTTAGGAAAAGTGTTGGGTGAGGGAGATAATGAGAGAGGAGAGATGAAATTCCCGTAATTTTTTGTTTAAAGGAGAGGCGTATTTGATATTTTCACATGATTTTCGCATGCGCAGAGGATGTGAAAATTTTTTCAGTGACAATTATTAGAAAGTCACAGGATGGTCCTAATTTGGGTGACAAACTGAGTTCAGATCTCAAAAAATGCATTAGTATAAAGGTCTCATTTTGAGACCCTGAAGTAAGTAGTTAGTATTTCTATCTTTATGTAGTTTGTCCTAAATTATTTGATCACTGACCATGAGATTTTTTACAAGAAACCTTGTATTACATTTGTAATATAGTTGATAAAAGAACTTAGAGAACCTTATTAATCTCATATGGGTTTTTCTTTTACTAAATTCTATACCAAATACAATATTGACCAAATTAAATATTTATGACAAAGGGTACGAAGGTATGGAAATGGTATCATCAATCATTTTGGGATTTTTGCATATCAAAATTTCCTTTATTTATCTTGCATTGAAAATTTGTGCAAAGTTGTTAGAAAGATAGTTATTGCTTCGAAGTAATTTTTCCCTATGATTTGTGCATATGGAGCAAAACTAAATCCTAATTCTCTAAGATGAATATGGGGTTGTTTTGCGGAACGAAAGTTTCATGGGCGAAGGACAAATTTTCTTTGTCTACGATACATAAAATGATGTTGCTTTATTGTTAAATATTTTCCTCTGTGTCCAGGAAATCATTATGCAAGTGGCTGAAATCTCGTCACAGTAATAGAATGAATAAGCTGCTGGACTTTGGAAGAAAAGCTCTATTCTACGTGAGGGTCCTTTCTGGGTATGAAGAAAGGAAAATTCGAAGTTACAGATTGGAGCTTCAGAAACGTCTTCAACAGGTTTTTCTTGCAAGATAACCCATTTCTTTGCCGTTCTATGATGATCTAGTAATTTGTTATTTGGTCTTCCTCAAAAATCTTTTCCACATGGTAAATCTTGTAGACATGGTCATTAATAATTCATAGATTCTTGAACAATGACTTCAGTAATAATTTCTTTTTTTTTGAAAAATAAAAGTGCGAGATATGTATTGATGTAAAGGTGCTAAAGGGACACCACACATGTACAAAAAATTTACATATCGATTAGCATATCAACAATGAAACTAGATCGTTTAAACAATCAATGTTATGCTCCAAAACAGTGGAGCCAAAATAGTGAAACCAATGATCTATGATGTTACTAAAATCTACTTCTTTTCCTTAAAAAATACGGTTGTTTTTCTCTTTGCAAATGACCCAAAAAATAGTTAGAGGGATGAGTCTGAGGGTTTTCCTCTTGCTGCTAATGCCTTCCCAAGCTAGGAGCTTGGAAATGATTGATTTGTTCATAACCCAAGATGGGCCTAGTAGACCGAGAACAATGGACCAAAGATTGTGTGAAATAGAGCATCCAAGGAGAAGGTGGTTGCAAGTTTCAAGACTATTTTTGCAGAGGAAACATTTATTGACAGTTGTGAGACCTCTTTTCATTAAATTATCTAGCGTAAGGATGCGGCCTTTCGCTGCTTCCCAAGCAAAAAAAGAAATTTTGGGAGTGGCACCCGACTTCTAGATAATATTAGAAGGAAACTGCCTCTGACCATGAGTAGAGTTGCCGACCAAGAGATTGTAGAACAATTTTATAGAGAACCGACCATTTTTGGTGCGGTCCCAATTTAGTTTGTCTTCCTGGTTAGAAAGTTGAATGTAACTCTGAACCAAGGTCTCATACTCCTCAATTTCTCAGTCTTGAAGATTTCTGCTAATAATGACGTTCCACTGCTTGGGCTATTTGGTAGCTTAACAACCTCATCCTGCAAAATTCCAGGTGGAGCATTGGTAATGGTTACAAGATCCGCTTTTGGACCGACATTTGGCATGATATGGACGCTTTTCACTCCAGGTTTCCTCTCATCCAGGCAATTTCTAGTGACAAACATGTTGGTCAATGATGCTGTTGATCCGGGATTACCCAGACAATAAAACATTGTTGTAAACAGGAACCTTTAGGATTGGGAGATTAAGGAATATGAGAGCCTTCTTCAGATCCTGATAAATATCCATATCTTTGATCAAGAAGACAAACTGTGTTGGAAGCTTATCAAGAATGGTTAGTTCATCGTCAAATCTTTCTACAATTTATTGGCTGGCAACTCCAACCTTGGCCTGAGGCTATTTCCCTCTAATTTTCTTTTTTTGCATGGTAAGCAGCAAAAGGGTGCATCATAATTGGATAATTTAATGAAGAGAGGTGTCACTATTGTCAACAAATGTTTCCTATGTAAAAATAGTCTTGAATCTTGCAACCACTTTCTCCTTGAATGTTTTATTAAACACAAGCTGTGGTTTATTGCAATTGGTCTATTGGATTGTCTTGGGTCAGGAATGATTCTTCCTTTGAACTTCTTGCTTGCGAAGGCATCAGTAGCGAAAGGAAAAATTTTGGACTCATTTCTCTCACTATTTTTTAAGTCATTTGGAAAGAGAGAAACAGTTGTGCTTTTGAAGGGAAAGAAGTAGATTTTAGCAAAATCATAGATAATTGGTTTCACTATTTTAGTTTTATTGTTTTGGGGCATAACTTTGATAGCCTTGAAGATGTAGGTTTCGTTGTTGATATGTTAACCGATATGTAAATCTTTTGTATAACGACGGTGCCCCCTTGACACTCTTACTTCGATATAATTCTTATACATTTCTTTCAAAAGAAAAAACAAAAACTCATGTTGCTTACCACCCCGTGAGCAGTAATTACAATAAGAAAAACAAGCCTTTGCCACTAATTCTTTTTTTTTTTTTTTTGAAATAAAAAGTATAAGTGTATTCATTAATTACGACAGCCAAGGGAGTGCCAACTAATATATAAAAGATATTTATACATCCAACAGAACTTTGATAATGTTACCAAAATCCTCAATAGTGAAAGACATTACCGATAACCAGACAACTCAAAATGTTATACCACCTATCTCTAACCCTCTCTATCTCTTCCATTGCTCCTTGAAAAGCCCTTATGTTTCTTTCTTTCCACACCACACAAAAATTTGTAAGAACAGTTAGGCCCAAATGCTTTTTCCTATCCTCATGCCCTTTCAAGCTACAGTTCATCCCTTACATTGGCCACCATTTCTCGATTAATACTCAAAAATCCCAAACACCGTTTTCCATAACTCGGTTACGAGAGAACATCGAAGTAGAACATGATCACAAGTCTCCTCTACCTTCTTAATGAGCTAGGAATTGCTGACCTTGATTTTATCTCTTCTTATCAATTTATCAATGGTCTGTATATGTCCACATACTACCTCCCAATCAAAAAATGCAATTCTTGATGGAACATACACTTCCAAA